CCTGTCTCTTCATTTATTTCTCCCAGTAGCTTAACCCTGTTAATACTTCCTTGATGATTCAGCCTGGTTTCAGCAATATGGCAAAAACTGGAAAAAGAAAAGTGAACAGAAATACTGGTTAAACGTCTTATTTGTTCCTAAATTCTCATAAAAGCAAAATGAAAAAAAAAAAGAAGAATGAAATGGGCAGAGGTCTCTCACTGCCTCAGTAAGCACTTATAAGAAGGTACCGCAAAAAAAAGAAAAATAGGAAAAAAAAAGCCATCACCAGCTCTTTGGAACATGCCTGCACCTCAAGTGTAAGTTTGGTTTCCCAACACAATTAAACGTATGAAAACCTTTGCATCCTTCAAAGGAACAGGAAATATATAAAGGGAGATAAACTTGGCTATGAACACAGACTAATTTTATTCTTTTATTGAGGATAAAAGTTTAGCGTTCTGAAAAGTAAAAGCTGTTTATAGTCACAAATAACCTACTTTCACTTGGGAACATTCAATAGCTACAAGATTTCAGTAGTTGCTCACACCCCTGAAAAAGGAAATGAATCCACCTAGAACCTTAGAACACGGAGAAAACAATTAATATTTCTATTTCTCAGTGACGTTCTCGAAAAAAAACTTAATTGAAGGCAAAACCATTCTGTTTTAAATTATTTTGAAAAGATAAGACTTTTTTTTGCTAGCACCAAAAGCAGAAAAATGCACATATTTATATATATTTATATTTATAAATACTTAAAATGTATTATTACAGCACACACCTAAACTAGAAATCCCTATAGTTAAGTCTAGCTCAAAAGAGCCTTCAAGAAATGCCTTTTGGCTGTTGCCCCCCTAAACTATTCCACCACAATAAGCCTCATATATCATACAAAATTAAGTTTACAGATCATTAAATAATTCCATTCTATGATCATGTGTATTTTTCCAGCATTTCAAACACAACAGTAACATGCAACAACTAGGAGTGAAATTTTACCAGTTGTTACTATTTTTATTATGTTACTCCAGCATCATTTAACAGTAGGTATACTGTTAGATTAAACAAACTGACTAAAACCAAAGAAAGCAGGAACAATTCTACTAAAAGTGTCCTCTATAGCAACTAATATTTGCAGAGTAAGTGTCAAGAAAGTTTGATAAGTCACTCTGTGCCATAAAACATGACTTTAGAAAAAACTATAGAGTAAATAACATGTTAATCAACTCTAAAAACTTCAGATTAGTTTCAGTACCTGCTAACAAATGCAAAACCTAGTACTAGTATAAGTACTGCTGAAGCACCAGAACAGATGGATCGAATCCGTTTCAACTTCTTCTAAAAAGAAGGTTATGCTTCTAGAACTGAAAAATGAGACTGTTGAAGTTGAAAACATTAATCACATTTATTATAAAGCCATTCTGGTCACCTGTGAGGCTTCCAAGACTTTTCCACTGAAGTGGATTTTTACTGTCAAAAAAGAGCAAGGGAAAGAAAACCTTGCTACAAACTACCAATAGGTTCTCAGCTGTACAAATGACACTGGATTTCTTCCATTGTAGGCCTTCTGGAAGTTCACTTTGAAGGGCAAAAATATTGAGAGTTTAAAGTCTTCTCTTTTTCTTTAGAAAACAGGCACAATTAAAAAGGTTCAAATATGATTTGTAGAACAAAAGTGTTTTCTTTTGGAAGCTACAGAAAGTCATGAAGCAGTAGGTTTAGGTATTTATGAACAGAAATTAAACGCTTTCATAGAAACTGCAGTTCTTCCACGGTTTTAAAATTTCCGAATGAGCTGCACAATGTATTTGTAACATTTATTTGAATTTTATGTAATTTCTGCATCAAAATATTGAGATTAGCTTGAACAGACCATCTAAATTTAGAGGCAACTCCTTCTGAGGCTTTAAGCACACACCTTCCACAGCGTTGTACCTCTCCAGAAGCAGCAGGTAAGAACTTTCATGGGGAAAAAAAAGCTCTCAAATTTCCTTAAGAGGAAGACTGCCATGCATTACCTTCTTTTATTCAGTAACTTTTCAAGTGAGCTAAGGACAACATAGGCTGAAAAACATATCATTACATTTTTAAAAGCAATTAGTTACAAATGCTCTTTATAAAATGAGCTTAATGCATTGCATTAGATGGCAAAAAAGTATTTTAGTGGATTAACATAAGAGGAAGTAATCTCTGTATCAAAACTAGACTTTGAGGCAGACACTACTTGTACATTTAAAGTTCTTGCTAACAATTACAGCAAATGGAAGGAAATAAGTTGTGTGAACAAGTCCATTGTTTAAACCCCTTCTTAACACCTCATCAACCCAGCTACACATAAACAAAGTTAGTTAACAGCAGAACTCTCAAATTAAATTTCATTTGGGGAGGGCAGGGAGGAAAGAAACTGTCTCTTATTTATCACCGCAAATACTAAGAATTCAACTAACTTTTGGTCCTCTTATGAGACTTTTAACCTATTGTATGAAATTGGTAAATCTAGCAGATTACCTTGGCTCCACATCTAAAGGGGCTTGAGAGGAACTCAGGCCAGAACAAATCAATATGAGACTTCACATGGTGCATTTCTTTCGGTAAGATAGATACACTTTTCATACGTATTCTGCCGCTGACTCCAAACTCTGAATTTCCTATCAGCAGAAATCTAAACCTAAAACACCGTTACCCAAGCAACACATCACTCCATGCAGCATAAAAACAAACGTTTTTCAGAATTATAAGAGTAAAATAAGTAACAACTACACGATCCTCATCGTTTCGTACTGTAAACACTGAGCTCGTATTTCAAATGTATAAGCACTGTTCTTTTCCTGCTTAATTTACTTGCTTGCAAACGAGGAGAGCTTCCTGTAGCATCATACCCAATCTGAAACAAGGAACTTCGCTGCTCAAGATCAGAAGCTGCTTTGAGATTCAGCTTCATAAAATAAACAAACCACCCTTATAACTATCTACACAATTGGCAGTTCATTAGAGTCGCTTCAGACTTGCCAGTTAAGAACCGTGTTTTGCAGTCAGCACTTGCGCATAACTTTATTGCCCTTTAAAACTTAGAAATGCTGAAGTCTGCTCCATACGCATGTTAACACAGTATATATTCACACAGAAAGCTCAGAAGCTCAGTTACAGCATATTATACAATATTTAATTTTTTTTTTTAACTACAACTTTACTGCATATTAGCTTTACCTGATGTTATTAAACTCTCTTTCCTTATAAATTTCCTGACAGGAACTGTGCACGATACTTGTTTTCTTATTACCGTTTTTCCAA